TTTTTATAAAACATATTTTCATTGAGCGAATAAATAGCTATAATAAAGTAATTCAGTGATTGAATTACATTTAATTGGAAAATATTTCATAAATGATAACAACGTTCACATCAAATGTCTGAGAAATTACATCAATATTAGCTATCTTTTTGTCATAATATAGTCGTCACACGATTTTCAAGGATTTTAAATAAAAGTCACACAAAGAGAGTGAAAAAATATATTTATAAAAGTTTTTTATGTGAAAACTACTTTTCAAACTCGAAAAATATGTGCAAATTAAAAATTTAGTACATTTTTCATTTAATATATTTTTACGTGTTTCTACATTCAATCATGTGTTTCAACACTAATTACTTAATATTTGTTTTGAAATTATGTTTTATAATTAATAGTCAGATAATAGTCATTGTTTTGGGCGCAGAATATTCCGATGGTGTGTGTTATGGAGATTTAGGCTGTTTTAACATAACCGCCGACTTTAAGCACATACTGTACCGACCTTACAATGTGCTACCGGAGCCGCCCGACAAAATACAAACTAAAATATATTTATACACGAGATCCCAGCCCCAGAAACCCCTCAGTGTTGCCAACACTTGGATTGTGGACAGACATCTCAATACGAATAATAAGCAAAAGTTTTTGAATGCTTTTGGCAGCAATAAAGAGACAAAAGTGATAATTCATGGTTTCGTTGATAACCTCTCGTATGGGAAATGGATTACAAGATTAAAGGATGAGTTACTTATTAATGGAGATTATAATGTGTTTGTTGTCGACTGGTCCGAAGGCAATGGTAATGTTCTTGTTTTGTTTTGTACTTGCTACTGATTTCATAACTTTAACAATTCATATTAATAGACTAATAATTTAGAAATTTAATTAATTTATATATTTCACATTTTGCTCGTGACTACTTTTATAATTAAAATTATATTAATAGAAAAATTATTTAATTAAATTACACCACTGTATTTTATTTTAAAAGTTATAATGACAATTAAATTTATTTTATAATTTAATAAATGTAGGTCTGCCCTACTCCCAGGCCGCTGCCAACAGCCGTTTAGTGGGCGCACAGATAGCTTTACTAATTAAAAATCTAAATGTATGTCAAAAATCATTATAATTAATAATTTTTTAATTTTATTATAAGTAACCTCCGTACAACAATGAAAATTAAATTGTAATACAATAACATTATACTACAATGTAGAGCACAAATAAACTTAAATATTCGAGTTGTCATCTGATTGGACACAGTCTGGGTGGACATGTGGCCGGTTATGTGGGCCATGATTTAGAAATTAAATTGTAATACAATAACATTATACTACAATGTAGAGCACAAATAAACTTAAATATTCGAGTTGTCATCTGATTGGACACAGTCTGGGTGGACATGTGGCCGGTTATGTGGGCCATGATTTAGCCAGTGTATCACCACAAAATAAGCTTGGTCGCATTACTGGCCTTGATCCCGCTCAACCATTTTTTCAGTTTAGTATAATTTAGGCTATTTATTTATAATATTATAATAATACTAGACATAAGTTCTTATTATAAATTTTTATACTGATTATAATCTATGACTAATATACAAATAATTTGTATATATTTATTAAAACTTTATAAACACAAGCAGTAGAGTTGAAAATCAATAAACAATTATATTATTTTAAATTTTAAATATTTCAATCTTATGGTAGTGCCAATTAATAGTCAGTTTTTAGAGTTTCATAATAAAAATCATTATGAACATGTGTAAAATATTACATAGACATCAACCACATTTTTATACCCTGAGCCAAATAATAATAATGTATTATTTTACTGAAACCTAAGAAATATGCCCAAATCGGTGCGTTTGGACAGTAATGATGCACTTTTTGTCGATGTTATACATACGGACGCCGACCCCTTTCTAACT